AATGATTTGGGAATTCTAGATGAAAAGAGTTAGAAGCGTTTAAACAAAGAGACGCACTTGAGATGTGAGAAAACAAAATACAAAGAGAGAGGAGCATTAAAAGAAACAACTGAAATTAGTAAATTAAATTCTAAGTTATTTATCTTATATACTTACAAGGTGTATGTTTCATATTTTTTGCTGCCAAAATCCAAATTGTCTCTACAGAGTGAGATTAAAAAAATAACTTTAAATAACTTTGTTTAAAGACCCGTAATCCGACTTTTATGTCGGAAATTTTCTATCATACACCATGCTCTGTTTTATTTCAGTGGGAATTACAGGGCAAACATTGCCATTTTTATTAGGAAAAGTTTAGTCAGGCAAAACAATTCTAACTGAAACACGTGTTTTTCCTGAATCAGTAACGGTTTGCAACCGTAATTAAATGATATGAACCGATAATGTATCAAGAGAAAAAAAGAAAGAAAGAAAGGATCAAAAAGTAAAAAAAAAAAAAAAAACTGAGTAAACATAATTTGTTTGCACTTAGCAACTGGGAAGCTATGTGAATCTATATTGATTTTGATGTAAAAGCGTACTTGATCCGTAATACCTAGATTCAAGAACTTTCAATGTTTGCGAACACTATTTCCAAAATGAAAGATAAAATAAGTGCAGTTCGAAAGTAATTTTGTGTTTGTTTGTTTGTTTTGTTTTAGCCCAAATGGCTCGAGTTTTCATTCTATGCATAAGCTGTGTCTTGTGTTCTATTCAAGCTTAAAGAAAAGAGTTTATTTAAAACTTTCAGAAGACTTTCCCATATATTTTTAAGCGGAGCGATAACTGTAAGCTTGACAGTCTAATAGAGTCTGAAAACTTGGAGTTCATATTTCAAAACTTAAGATCCTACATGTTTTTTTTTAATTCTATTGCGCAGTTTCTTTTCTTAAACTTGAATTCGAATTTCATTCAGTATGGACAAAAAAAGCTGTCCAAGATGCGAGAAAAGAGAAATTTCAATAAATATATCAGAACGAACAGCGGATTCGAGGCATTTCCGGAATTCATTAATCTTTCCCTGTGATCTCTTTCTAATTTAAACCGAAAGGCAAACAATAAAGACACCGTTAACCGCTTGGTATGATTTTACTCCAAATTAGAACTTTTCTTGCTGAACGAGTGATTCAAGTTTCAGTGTCAGATTTGTTTCACCTTTTCAAGGCATAAGGTTCGCTGACTTTGGAAATAATTCTTCATCAGAAAATTAAATGCTATTCTTGTTTGACCAAAGATTTTAATAAAATCTTCTTTTTCTGAAGTCGTGCTGAATAATTCCAGATGTCGAGTTTATCAAACATTAAGTCATTCCAGGCGAGTCTGTCCCAGCTGGAATCCATGCCATGTGATATTTGGCCAAATGAGTTCTTTTTTCTTTCTGATGATTGATCACATAAGGGGAACATTTCATTTTCTGCTGTAGAATATGTTAGTCTTTCAAATGCAATACATTTTATATCTGGAGAAGAAGTTGCGTGATACTTATAACAGATTCTCTTATTCGGCATCAAATCTTTACCATTTCATGTGAAGTTAACACTGAATAATGACAGCTTGATCGTTGCTGCATAATCAATTCAGTGAATCTCAAAAATGCTTCGATTCTGGTTTATTCTGATATAATTCATTAAAATTTCGTTTCCCGTCATCAGTGTCTTCCATATTCTATACTAAAATTTAAAATTTAAACAAAGAAAACGGAATTCTGAAATTGTATTGTAACGAAACACTTTGTGATATCCTAGCTAAATTAGTAAAACTGTGTAGCCAATTATTGCATATTTCTTAATGAGTAATAATGAGTCCAAAGCAGGGTTAAATATACCCTTTATTCCAACTCAAAATGATTAAAAGACGGCCCCTTCTCGGGCTTGCAGTAAGCCTCCACTCGGATGTAACTCAAGATAGAAAATAAGAGCTAATCTAATACTAATTAAACTAAAACCAACCGAAGCTGCATAGAAATAACTAACAGAGTTGGCTCTTATCAAAGGTCACCCTCGAATACTACCAGGCACATAACAGTACGACTGAAAAGTCGTAAGATTAGATTTTGAGCAATGATTCCAAAATTAAAAAATAAATAAATAAAAAAAAAATGTTAGAAAATTAAAATAATCCCCCTACAACTTTACTTCACCATTTAGTTATCGTCTGTCAGTTGAAACTGTCTGATAAGATCTCAATTCTGGGATAGTATTCCATTCAAATAATTGATATTAATTAAAAAATTATAACCTTAAACCTTTAGTTTAACACCCCGAGAAAAATTCACCATTAGGAATTTTTGAAAATTAAAAACTATAAAAATTTTTTAATTCTGAAAACCTCGCAAAAATTTGAAAAGTTGCAATCTGCTCTTAATATTCAGATTGCAATTTCAGAACAAGACTGCAGTTTTTTAGATATTCACCATTAAAAATTTTTAAAAATTAAAGACCGTAAAAATTTTAAATATATGGAAAGGCCATACGAATTCGAAAATTTACAGTTGCAGTCTATTCTTAGTATACAGACTGCAGCTCAAGGCAGTTTTAAGGAAACGATAAGAACTGTTCTAACAGAGTCCCTGGAATATACTCGTAATTTGAATAAGCTTACTCATTTAACAATTAGTCCCCAGGAATCCAATATATAAAATCCAAAAAATCATGTGCATGAAACGATCTCTTTAAAATAGTACAAATAATAGAAGAAGAAATGAAAAAAAAAAAAAAATCAAAAAAAGTTGCTATAGTATTTACTTTTCCATCAAAACTGAAAGCCATATAAGGACATTATAGTTATTTCATAAAGAAAAATGCATCATCATTTAAGATATAGTTGCGATCTTTTTTCACTGGATCTCTTACACGGGAAATTTACAAAAAAATGTTTCCAGTAAATTAACTGGTAAAAAGTTCTTTTTTTGGCCAAAAATACAAAATTCGCGTAGCAAAAAGAATATTACGTACTTGCTATGAAGATATTATTATTATCAATAATAATGTAGCGGACTTATATATACGGATGCTTCAGATTTATAGCTTGACGCCACCATGGGCAAATTCCAGGGACCTTTTCCTTTTCCTATATAAGGTTGGTTCACTTCGGGCCGAATTGGTAAAAAATTCATGGAAACTAAGATGTTTTTAATTTTACTCCTTACTGTGTCTGTATATTGTGGAAATATTAAATGTGAGTCATCTTTTTAAATATATTCTAAGAAACAAATCTCTTAATTTCAGGAAGGCCCGCTAGTGGCCGAGCGATAAACTGGTAGTTCGGTCCGATGCTTGGTTCGTGTCCAGATTCAATTTCCGACAAGCTGGGGGAAAATTTTCGCGATTTTTCCCACACCTAACGTATATTCCCGTAGAAAGCCCTCCACAAAGGCATATTTTCCCTTGGACAGATAACTCTCGTGTGTTTTGATTTAATCCAATCCAAACTTGCTTCGTTACAATATTTAAGTTGATATAAACTCATTTTTAAAAGAGCTTTGTCATTTGAAATACCCTGTATGACTTCCTGCAGTTCAAAAAATTATTTTAGTAATATCTAAATTAGCAGTTCTCAAATGTTTTGCCCCTTACGTCCCTTTAACTGTCACTAGAAAAACATCCCGCCTTTTCAAACCTCGAAAAATATGTGCACATTTATTTATATTTAAACTTTTTTTAACTACACAGCAGGAGCAGATAGAGTCAGGCTGACCTTCCTTCCTAAAACTATGACCTGCCACGGTTGAGAACCTCTGATCTGGATCATCTCTGGAGAAAATTTTCCTCACTGGTAGTAGAGCGGTTAGACTGCTGAATGCTGGTATTTTTTTCCTATGTTCGAACCCCAGCGAGCAGGATGGCTGCGTGACAGATTTTCGAGTTTTTTTTCCCTCCTTGTGTAACTTGAATACAAGTCATTTTCCTTAAAAAGTCTTCCACTAAAGCGTTCTTGCTTAGATGATAACCCTTGTATGCTTTACGATATCCAGATTATCTAACTTAACCTAGCCTGAAGAAATCTTATGAAAATTTTGCAAGAAACCAAGGAAAATATCGCATTACAGTTTAAAATGTCTTAATTAATCGATACTCGAATATTGGAATTCATTTGTATTTGCACTAAGTATTTCTGAATGCATGTAAAAAGTCAGTAATTCAAGTAGTTTGCAATGAATCGCGTATGAATCTAACTTTTTTAGGTGGATAATTTTGAATCGGAAAAATGCTATTATAATCTGAAAGGAAAAAAACAATTAATATAAAACAAATTTTAACAGCATAGATTACGGAATAGATACTGCACAGATAATTTTAACGGCATATAAAATTTACAGATTAAATTTTTCGAACGTTTAATGAATTAAAAACGGTATACGTATACAAATATATTAAATATACAAATATTTAAGTATTTTGTAAGTTGCATTATAAATTTGAAAACAAGTTTCCCCCCACCCCCAACAAGAAAAAAAAATCCTATTTTCCCTCGTTTAATGTTCTGTAATAAATTTTATTTTATGTAACAAAATTTAAGCTGTAAAAATTTATCCGAAACAATATCTGAATCCAAAATGAATTAACTTGCATGTAATATATTTCTGTGAATTAGATATGAAAGAGATTAAAATCACAGATTCAAAAGGCTATTAATTCCAATTTCATTCAATAACTCAATAAATGCCCGTTATCTATAAAACAAAATTGACATAGCGTAAATTGTATGAAATTTAAATTTTCTTATGAACCTGTTATACATTTGTATTATATTTTAATAAGTTATAAGGAAAAAATAATAGCACTTGGGATAAGTAATTCGAAAAGAAAACTAAACTCGGAATGTCACTTTGTTCTAGTAGCAGATGTTGCCGACAGAGGGCACGACATCAGTGCAAAAGCCCATGTCACATGACCTAAAATATCGACCAATGAGAGCAGAGACGAGTACGAATCCATTCCCTTACCTTTTTTTTTTTTTACTTTATTATCGAACCTTAGCTTTTACAGATTGATGTGTTATTGTTGCGATTTTAACTCTGTTTTATACACGTTGTCTCTGGAATTAAATTTGATCTGCCTTGTACTTGCTAAGTTGTGCTAATATAACCTGAATGTAGTCGTTTATACCGGTGCTATGCGAAGTAACAAAATGCTGTCCAAGTTCATTCTGGCTTTGATCCAAGTGTACGAAAGGGCTTGCTCATCAGTATCTGCCTGAGGTTGTGTTTGGCCTTGGTTGTATGCGTGCATCGTGGTTGTGCGGCAATATTTTCATTTGAAATCGGGCATTTAATTTCAACGAGTAAGTAAATGCGAAATTTATTATTAACTTCTCCTTAATTGTGAGGGTTTACGCTGCGTTTGTTTAAGAGATGATGTAAATGCAATAAAAACATGCGTTTTTGTTATTTTATTATACATGTATTTTTTCAACTCCGCGTTTGTTTGCAGTGTTATTGTGCTGTTATGTATGTGTTTTTTATCCGTATCATTCCGTAAAAATTGTAAGAACATATGAATTTGCTCATAATTAGATCTCAAGTCGGTATTATTAACGGAATGATTTTATGTCAACAATGTTATGTTGTTTTTATTTTGTAGCAAAAAAATTAATTTGAGTTAGGAATAATTATGTGTTATATAAGAATTTAAAGCTGTAATTTTAACACTTTTTTTTTTTTTTTTTTTTTTTTGCTTGTTTATAGTGCTATATATTATTTATTCATTGTTTTCAGTTTAGTACAATCATCTGATGTAAACAATCTTGGCATAATGAGATATTTGTATTGGTAATTAACTTTATATTTAAATAAACGATTTATTGTATTGATCGTGACAGTATTAATTAAATAACAGCTGATTTTGAATTTAATTTGCAGTTTGTTATTGAAATAGTATGTATTTGATCATGCTGAATTTCTTAAATAATACTCACAGCATATTCATAATAATGTATTAGGTTAATATTTCGGTCATTATTTGTAACAGGAAAACGTTTGTGTTAAATTTGTAGTATTAATAGTTTTTATTTTTAAATATAAAGGAAATACATAAATTAACTTCGCAAGAATAGTTCTGTATTAATATTCCCTCCATCATATAACTATGGTATGCTTAAGTAATCAGGTTTATGTATTAAGCATTTTTTTCAATTAACTAGACTGCACCTGCGCTGTAAAATCAGATTCTTGTTGATATATGTTTACAAATACTAATTTTTGTGATATGTCTTACTGCATGTTAATATTTTGAGATATGATAAATATCCTCTTCACTTCCTATTACCCTTCATTTGTAAGTTAAATTAAACAGTAAGAGTTCATGTGCAAAGGTATTTATTTTGCCTGAAGTGTCATAAATTAGCATTTTATGAACCAATTCAGAGCTGAATAATTAAAGAACAAAAAATGATCAGAAGTTTTTTATTTACTTTTATGAAGGGTTTTTTTTTTTTTAAATCTTTGGACAAGAGACAAATTTCAAATTGTTAAATTTAAAGGGCATAAGATATCACTTGCTGTCATAGAAAAAGAGTTTTTTTAAATGTTTCACTAAATGCCATTAAGTTATGAAATAAATTTACAGAAACATTTTTGCACTTTTTGTAAGGCCACTTAAACTTCTTTTAATTACAGAGTGGAGATATATAATTTAGCTGAAAAGGTACTGTTTTTAAGAATTACATTTTTAACAATATTTAATTTTTGCAACTTGTAAATTAAGTAACCAGTAATGGAGAGAAAAAAAATTAGATCATAAGTGATACTATACCAAGCTAAAAATGAAATAATATTTATAACCTTATAAATGTTTTGTATGCTTATAAAATTTTAAATATTATAATAAATGTTAAAAAGTTTTCCCATTAAAAATACACCATCATATAGAATTTTTATAAATGTATTATTACTATATGTGATTTTTTTCATTATTGATATGCATCTGAAAATTCGTTTGGTACTTAATTGTTATGCATATTATACAAAATTATTTTAAAGGCCAAGTTATATAACAAGATAAATTTGCAGTAAAGGAATAAGTAAAGGTCTCCTAAAAGTAATTATAACTCATAAACTATTACTGCAGCAGTTTAAAATATTATTTGAAAATGTTTTGAATGCTCAGTTATAAAAAAAATCTTTGAAATTTCATATGATAAAGAAAAATATATGCAGATCATGTATTTTTCAAATTTTGAAATTTGATTTTTTTTTTCTCTTCTTCCCCAACGGCAGACACTTGCCTGTGATGGTATTGGCCACTTCTAAAGCCAGAAGTGGGGGCCATTTTATTGTGGAGGCACGTAATAGGCAACCACCATTAATTTTACATCCATGGCTTTTCCGGGATTCGAACCCGTGCCCTTTGGTATTGCAGTTAGGCTTCTCCCTAACCACTATATCCTTTGGGCAGCAATTTTATTTTTATAAAATCAGCTTTGTATTTCCCCATTAATGTATCACTGGAATTAAATAAAATGATTGTAAAATATATGTAAAACTTTTTTAAGTGAGGAACTGCCATTAATCAACCACAAGAGCATTTTTTTTTTAAACTAAACTCTTCTAAGGATAGTGTAGCATATAATAAAATTCTTGATTGGTTAAGAATTTTTGCAAAAGCACATACATTTTAAGTAATGTAAATTCCTTTTATTGTAAGTATGCTTAAATTCTTTTTCCAAGTGCATCTTCTTTAATCTGTTAAGATCAGGTCATGAATGGAAAATGTAGTGAGACTTCATATCACATCCAGTATAAAATGCTAAATTGCAGCAATGGATCATATAAATAAAATTGTATTCAAATCTGTGTGGTATGTTATGAAGAAAGAAATACTGTTGACTATTAAAAAATGTTCATTTTGAAAAATTCATCATGCCTTAATTCTAAAATTTAGAGATAAATGTAGCATTAGGATAGCCTTCAATAGTTAAGCTTTATTTGGTCTTGAATATCTCATTAAACAAAATGATTCTTATTTAGTGGTTGAGTATCTCAGTATCTTTGTCTTCAGTGAAAATATTAAGTATATTCATCTTAAAATAAAATTTCTGTGTTAGAAAAATGTATAAGATATTTGAAAATGTTTGCAGAATGTATAGTTTTATGTATTGTTTGTAGGATAAGATCAGTATCAGTTACACATAAATTTTTAAATTATCACTGAGAAGGAACTAAAATTTCTGTGTTAAAAAAATGTATAAGCTATTTGAAAATGTTTGCAAAATGTATAGTTTTATGTATTGTTTGTAGGATAAGATCAGTATCAGTTACGCATTAATTTTTAAATTATCACTGAGAAGGTTAAAAAAATTCAAGCAGAACATAAATGTGCATTTTGATGGTTTTGTTTTATACATTTTTCAAGTAGCTGAAAATTTCGTGTGCAGTAAGCTGATAAATTTTATTTCTGTAAATGACTGTATAATTCTCAGTTCTGCAAACAAAAGCATTACAGTAAACAGAGAAAAATAGTGAGTTTGTAAAGCAAGAACAGTACGTGTTTCTATATTTTTGTTGCAGAAAAAAAAAGTTCTGAAATGTTTCCTGATACTTACATTCATGTTTAGAATTTACCACAGGACAGTGACACTTCGAACGTGCAATACCGCTTCTTGCGCAATTTGCTGCATTGCTGTTTATCCCCACGATAGGGAAGTAAGTAATTTTTATCCCTTCATCATTTGAAAAGTTGAGAAGTCAGCTTGCTTCTAAGCCGTTGAAAGGGGGGATGCAAACCATTGTCTTTCCGATACCTGTCTGCTTAGAACAATGGAAATCGTTTGAACATTGAATAACACCAGTTAAGCGTAACCATGCCCCTCTCTTCTCTGGCGTCATTCGAACTATTCTGAAAGCAAAACTCAGCAGTCAAATTGCTAACAAATTGCCCTTGCTCTAAATTCACGTTTCCTACAACGGTTGATAAACAATAACAGAGTCATGATTTTTATTATTTATTCCATTGTTTAAATTAGCTACCTTATTTTAAAGTTTATTTATTATATTTTTATTTGTGGTTTTATGTTTTGACATATTTTTGGATGTTTTTATGTGTTATTTTTGATTAGTGCGTGTAAATAATCAATCTGGAAAGCGATTTTATTATGTGCATCTATCCATTATTTTATATATTTAATATAGCCGATGAAGATGATTGGGCTGACTAATTGCATAAGTTTTTGTTTATTAAATCAGTTTTGGAAAACCACATAGGATTATAGCTCTTCTAAGGCTAGGGATACCCAGAAAGGGCAAAGGGTTTTCTAAACTTAAAAACTGGTTCGTTTTCACGAGCTGCAGTCACGAAAATCCTATGCAGTGAGCCTGTTCACCAAGTTGACTCCAGGTTGAACTACACGACCTGCTTAATTAAATGATGCCCTGTCGTAAAAGTTCCCGCACCATTAAGATAGTTCACTGTTCGAAAAAGACACAAACCTTCAAAAGGATACCTCGGTATAAAGATGCCTGCACCTGTACGAAAATCAGTTTCGAAGTTGAAAAAAAGCTAGCTTCTTAAGGGGGCAGGCACTCTTTTTTCGGGGCGCTGCTGTGCGAAGTTGATTACCGTTTGCTTTACTGATTAGTTAATAAAGCAGGAGATGAAATAAATCTACAGCACCTTAATGGAAAATCAATTCGTTTGCACAAAAGTGCCGGCACCTGTAACAAAGTGATGAATTTTTCTTAAATATATCTAAACTTTATATTAAAAAGAAAAAAAAAAAAAAGAAAAAACATTGAACTCTGATATACGTGCGGAACCTTTGTGTAGTTGATTGCAGTAAAATAGAATAATGTGGTTTCTCTTCCCTCATATGAATACAAACTAATTTGCCTTTAAAAGGCCCTTTAATCACCCCATAGCCCTCGAGTACTTTTCAAAAATTAATTAGCAAGTACCTATGAAAATTTTACTGATAATATAAACTATGAAGTTCAACGAAAAATTAATCTAAAAAGATATTCATTTCATATAATTGATATATAACGAATTTGCTTGCATCTGAAATACTTGTTGTAACTAGATTTTCCCGTCTTTTACATTAGGAATTTCAAACTCGGCTTTACAAATTTTAGATTCTTAGAATTTTGAATGTTTTTTCTCTGCAACGAGACATTTAAAATGATCCAGTGTATAATGCATTATCAGATTTCTCTTTTTGTATGCATAAATATATATATCTATATCATTTTGTCATATAATTTCCTATTAGTAGGGAATTCAAGATTTAAGTCAGAATCATCGAGCCTTCAGTCTGTTGTCTGCATACAATATCAGTTGAATTCCGATCTT